CATCAACCGTCGCCTCAACCCCGACCCCAACCGAACCGCTGCCCTTTCCGCCCCCTCAGTCCAGATTCGCATCCGCAGCGGCACCGCCGCTCGTCCACAGACCCCTTGGTCTTGTAGGCAAGATCCTACTTTTCTTAGACTTATTAATTCAATTTTAGACATGTGAATTAATTATATGCATGTTTAGACTATAATATGATTATGCTGTAGTATGAATACTGTGATATTCTGCGTAGTTAGGTTGTTTGATGAAATGTTGAAAAGAAAATAATATTTTTAGAATAATTATTGTGAGAAATATTTTAAAATGAATTATTTTTTAGAAGAATAATATTAAAAAGAAACATTTAAAGATTATTTTAGAATTAATTACAATGAGAAAATATTTCAAAAGAAACTATTTTGTAAAAGAACTTTTAAATAAATAGATTTATGATTTTAAAAGATTAGAAATAATTTAAAGAAAATTATTTTGTAAAGGATTATTTTGGAATTAATAAATTAATCATTTTTAAAGGTTAGTTTAGAATTAAATGGTTTATTTTGAGTTATTATAATAATAGATATTTTAAAATAATTTATTATACTATACATGCACGTCCGATTCACAGTCATGCTCATGTCATATTGAGACTCATAATTATATTTCATATGATTACTCATTTGATTCGTGCTATTGACTGATATCACATCTTTATCGTACTCCCTATTACTTATGCTTGAATGCATTAGCATAGAATTCCATACAGGTTTGCTTTGCAATTCGCTGCCGGCAAACGTATTATTGTTTGCAGCCTTGTATAATTAATTGTTGGCCTTGTATTGTATTCGTTGACTCATTTATGGTTGTGTATCATTGCGGTGGATGGCCTTCGTGCCTATGTATTTGGTTTCATTCCTGTGTCGACTATACGCCTTGATTTCCTCCAAATTGTGGAGATGAACCGATTATATCATTGTAGGTGATTTCGCTGTTCTCACTAAAATAGAGAGAGAAGATTAATGTCCTGATTTATTGACAACCCGATTTGAGCCCCTCTACACCTAGGATGATTTGTTTAGATTATTTCATTCATTTTATTGCTCAATTATTCGAAATTGAATCCGAAGTCGTTTTCTCGTTTCTTGTGCCGACCTATCTACAATAGAACTAGATCTTGAGATTCTTCTCCGTTGATGTCGTAGGATTCCTTGTTATGTCGTCATTATACTTATGATTATTTTCTATATTTTATTTGTTTGGATCGCTTTGTCGTTTAGCGTGTATACTTCCTTTTCGACGGTTATTAGTTGTTTCTTTATTTTCTGCATTGATCTATCTATCGTCAGACTTGACTGGAGGATTTCTTCTTCGTCATTTCTAGTGCATTACAATATTACTATTTTCATATATATATATATATATATATATATATATATATATATATTGTAACAAATCATTATTATGTGATATGTCGTGATATTATTACATAGATTTGCTTGTATTTATTTATTGTTTCCTGCTGTGATTGAGAACCAATAGCAGTTCATGACTTAGTGGCTTTGCGCGTCATGAACAAGACTTAGTGACATGTGTGTGTGCGTTGACTATATTTAAGAGGTGAATCAGTGATTTATTATAGACCGTGCTTAATGACTTAGAAATACAAGAGATGTTGGGATGAGAAAGTCTTGATTCACATGATCGGATGTGAATGTTGATTTATCTTCCAGACTCGTCCTAGGCCTTGTTTCTACCTCGGGTTGGTTTGTAGGGCCAAAGTGATCTGCTGCGCATTTTGGTCAGTGACCTGTTTTCTGTTTCTGTTTTTTGTTTTGTCACCCGTGTTCTGCTGTGTTCGGACCAACCGGTGATCGGATTGCGTGTAGTCCTCTCGTCGAGTTTCGGGTTTGGATATACGTAGGGGATTATGAACATTCAGTTATCCATTAATGTGAACATTGATTTTATTGAGATGTGGACCAGTGAGTTGTGATAGGATGGCTAGCATCATGACCGTGTTACACTTGGATGATTATGGATTTCCTGACCGTTATACTCTACTAGTGGATCATGTCTAGATTATTAGTATTCCAGTTGCATGCTTCTATCATTATTACTGTCATCACATGTTTCTATTATTATTACTGTTATCGCATTGGTCATTCGATTGTTCTTTTCTCCCTTGTGGGATCTTGTCGTGTGCCATGCACGCTGACGTACACTTGTTTTCTATTGTGTATGTCAGATTTAGATGACAGACAGGTTCAATATTGTAATGATCGTGAACTTTCGATACTAGTTAAAAGATTTTTTTGGTATTTTAAAATATTTAATTATTATTTTTTAAATAGTATTTGTATTTTTCTTGATTTTCTAGAATTTCCTACGAGTTAAAAGTCCAAATTTTATATTTATTTAAATGATTTTGATATTTATAAATTAACTTAGTTTAGTAAAAAATTTTTGAATTAATCCGTTGTGTTATTGATACTATTACGTATCATTTTGAATAATACGTTGTATTATTATTACTATTACGTATTATTTCGTATAATAGGTTGTATTATTATTACGTATTATTTTGTATAATATGTTGTGTTATTACTACTATTGCGTATTATCTGTTGTATTAGTACAATTGGTATGTTTTATTGTGTAGATAATTATCCCATAATTATTTAATTTTAAATGTAAGTAATTATATTTTTTATTATTATTCTCGTTTAATTGTATAATTAGTTGTATTATTTTCACTATTGCGTATTTTCTGTTGTATTAGTATAACTAGTACGTTTTATTTTGTAGATAATTTTCTCATAATTATTTACTTTTATACATAATTAATTCTTATTTTTATTAATTATTTTCGTTAATTATTTCCTACCCTATATATAGTAATATATCTATATATATATATTATAGTATATATATATATATATATATATAGGGAAAAGTGAATCTAAGTGACCCCTTAGGCTCCCACCTAAGGCGCGGCCTAAAATCCATCATTCCCTAATATGTTTTTACGATTCCGCTTCGTTGAACTTGATCTATACGGTTCTTAAACCTAAAACACCAATTTTGGGGTGAACCCGTTCGTGTTTGACCCTTTATCCACTCGCTGTAATTTTAACGGTCTGAATGAATAGAACTATTTGCACGGCTCAACGAATGGTCAAAACACAACGGGTTCACCCCTAAAATTGGTGTGTGTGGTTTAAGAACGTGTAGATCAAGTGCAACGGAGCGGATCACAAAAAAATTTAGGAAATGATGTGATTCTAGGCCGCATCCTTAGGTGGGGAGCTCAGGGTGTCACCTTAGATTCACTTTTCCATATATTATTATATATATATATATATACTATATATATATTATAGTATATATATATATATATTATATATATATATATATATATTATTAGTATATATATATCGTTTCTTTCTCCCTTCACGTGAAACACTAGCCGCACTTTCTTTTCCCTCTCTTTCTCGCTCTCTCTCCGCCGACTCAACCACCACCTTGCCGACCACATTGCAGCCGCTCGCCTCAGCTCCGCAACTCCGCTGCGGCGAACAACCCCTAGCAGCACCCCCGCGTTCATCCCCTCGTGTGACATGCAGGCTAACGTACACTTGTTTTCTGTGGTGTGCGTTAGACTTAGGGGACGGGTAGGTCCAGTTCGATGATGCAGCAGAGCCAGTGTATGCTCAGCTGGAGTGTCTTTCCGAGGGAGTAGAAGGACAAACTGAGCGTAGTGATTTTCTTCTGTAGTAGTTGTGGAACATTAAAACTCTTTTACCATATATTTCTTAGTTTGATGATGAATTTCGTATTTTCTAGCAGTATTTTCTTTTATTATGGACTATGTATTGTTATATTCCTAGTTGGACCTTTTTTGTAATAAGGGCATGTTGACCCGTATATTATGTCTTGGATGATATTCACTTATGATATGGATATTCTGTTCTGAATTGTTTATTATATTTTCACTATCTGTGATCGGTCTGCCTTTGCATTTATTTCTTGACGCTTAGCGTATTAGATTGAGGAGAAATGTTTATTTTATTTATTCTCCTTAAATGTAATATTTCACGGGCTTGTTCACGTTTCGATTCCCCGGTATTTTGAGAAACGGTGCGTGACAGATTTAGAGGTGGCCCATGCAAGTCACGGTCCGGAGTACTCACTAGTAAGAATATAATGGACAATTTAGGTACATATCATATTTCATCTGTAAGACTACAATTAAGTTCTTACACTATTATCTTAATAACTATGTTTTAGTTCCTATTTTTCCAATATATTGTTTTGATTTTAACCTTAGTTTTTCTTTTGATCCTTATTTTCCTTCAGAACCATGGTGGGTACGCGTGGCTTTAGTAACCCGTCTGGTAGCAGTGCCCTGCCACCCGAAGTGGACCCGAACCAACTCCTGGTAAGGATTCATGGATTGGTTACTAATCAGCAACACCTGGCTGGGCAACTACAGAGAGAGCCACAACACCAACCTTCCCCTCGTCCAGAGTCTAGTGTTACAGAGTTCCGGTACATGCGACCACCTTTCTTCTCTGGTGTTGAAGGTCCTCTAGCAGCGGAGGAGTTCCTAAAGGTTACCGAGACCATTCTCACGATGACCCGTATTGCCCCTCCTGAATGGGTGGATCTTATGGATATCCAGCTCACTGATTCCGCTTGGATCTGGTGGGCAGCTGAGAAGACCCATCTTGAGAGGCCAATCCTATGGGAGATGTTCACAGAGCGTTTCAACAGGAAGTATTTTCCTCAGTCAGCTCGGGATGAACTCCTGCGTAGATTTGTTGAGCTCAAACAGGGAGGTCGATCGGTTGATGAGTATGAAACCGACTTCTCTTTTCTAAGTCGATATGCTCCCCACCTGGTTAGAGACCCTACTATTAGGAGACATCAGTTCCAGAAGGGTCTGGATAAGTATATTAGGTTTGCTCTGGCTGGTAGAGCACTTGCGACTCACGACGCCGTACTGAATGCAGCACGAGAGATCGAGAGTGTTCAGAAGGAACCTGAAGACCCACATATGATTCAAAGCAGAACACCAGTAGCTCCAGCCTGAAATGTCAAGTGTCCCCCTCCGAGGCAACAACAGACTCCTCAGAGGCAGCAATTTTCCAGCTAAAGAGTCTTCTGATGCAAATTTAGTATTACAGCTAAAGAGTCGTTTGGGAATATTGAAGATTTAGGGGACTAATTTTCAAAATAACTCCATTACAAACTGCACATAGCACAGTTTCAAGCCTGGTAAAGTGGCAAAATATTTCCACAAATTGTGCACGTATCTCTATACATTCTCTATGTAACCATAAGCTATCCATCATGGGATTGTGCATGTTCAGGCCGATGAGTGAACTCATAGTCTAGATGCACAAATGCTCGCTCTATATCAGGCAATGACTCTAGCTTCTCCTGCAACGCCTCCCCAATATCGTGAGCTTCTCTGAGAGGCATCCCCGACGGCAAGACAATGTCAACCTCTACGAAATAGTGGGACCCAAATGTGTAAGCTCGAACTGTGTCGATGTGTCTGATAGCCTTGTGGTGGTTCCAGCAGAGGTATGTCAGTTTCTGTAGATACTCTGGTGCTGCTGACCGGCCTACCAGAGAGTTTACGTTCTCCAGAACAGTTGCTGACCAAGTTCGGATAGTGTACAGAGCTAGCTGTAAACAGAAACCAACAAGACTTAGTATCGACTCAAGCATACAACAATTTAATTCATTTAATATCATAACAGAAAAAAGGAATAAATTGCAAAGGGAAAGTTTCCTCTTATGGCTGTAGCAATGACAAATCCGCCAAAATTTTCGAAGTAGTACTTCACCCTCCTCTTTTTCAATTTATAAGTCATCAAATTTTTTGATGTAATAACCATATACATGTTTTTATGGAAGTACACATAACTATCAATATTCGATAACCATAGCTTTTGCTTCAAAGTAATTTTCACAGAAATCGAAACAGGGAGAACACATTATCACTTTTGAAACCTTAAGAGGGTAAATTGACCCTAGGAACATATCTGTAGGTTTGTCCAAAGAAAACCAGTTTAGACACCCATATCACAATTCCATTTAACGAATTATTTATGGATGGTTATGTCACAGAACTGAAGATTCTGTTCAGCCTGATTTCACTGGTTACTAATATTTTAAAGAAACTAAATAATTAACATTCGCAGCAATTATACCAACAGATGAATGTTAAAATGCGGTGAAAATTCATGACTTACAATAATGGCTCCAACTGGGTCAATCCAATACTTTATGTAATTGGCTAGAAGTGCAGCTACAAGTCCGATGACATTGGTGATTACATCGAAGAAGTGATCTTGTGCATAAGCCTTGACAATCTCATTAGTGAAGGAGCGGCAATAGACAACCAAGAGAAGCTTCACCAACGTCACTGATAACATGATGTCCACCACCCAAATTTCTTGCTCCTCTGTCAAGCTGAACCCATCTTCCTGCACCAAATTAAACCAATATCATGTAATAAGCCCACAGCATGGATTCAAGAGTGATGCCATGAAAATAAAAGCAATAGTCCAATTTTCAATATCAGTAGATATCTAAAACCATCATTATTTGAATAATTATAAGACAAAACACAAGTATACGTCTAAATCTAACACTGTAGCTGAATTTGCAGGTTGACATGTGGCAAATTATTTTTGTTCACCTTTGCCACTTTTTCACCCATGCTATGCATGATTAATAATTCATTCTACCAAAGAACTTTTAATCTCAAAGCTCTAGGTGAACAAGCAAAGATAACGCCACAATGTCACTTATAAGTATTTAAAAGAAAATAACAGAATCAATTAAAGGAATATGCCATGATGCAGAACTAAGGGCATCTACTTACATCCGATATTAGTGAACGTGCTGACTCCAATATAATCTGGAGACCAAGAGTTGCCATAACAGATGCGAAAACGAGGATTCCCTGCACATCATGTTTGCTTTTAGGATCAACATGGAAGACAGAATAAAAGATAACTTGATACATGAGAACTTTATATGAAAGCCAACTCAATCTATGTAAAGGAAACTGTTTCAGAGA